ATATGAAATTGAACTCAGGTCCTTGTGCTTGCCAGGCAGGTGCTGTGCCACTGAGCTATATCCCCAGCCCTTTGTAACCTTTCCATAAGCCTAAAATTATGTCAAAAGAACCTAAGAAGAGTCCAAAGAGGTCAAGTAATCTGGCCTCACCACCACTGGCTGTTACTAAAGTTGTCCAGGAAGAACAAGGCCACATTTCGGTGTGGAAGGACCCTTAGAAGAAGGAGACACACCCACACTTCAAGCCACAGAGCTCCTGGCTTCCAGGCTGGGTCCTCAGTTCCCTGTTGGGGTCTGTGGTGGACACAGCACTTGACATCCTCTTACGTTCTTCTGGCTGAGAGCTTCCTTTAAGACAGACCACAGGGACCTCTCTCCCCACCGAAGTATTCTCTTTTTGACCCTTTAACCAGTCTCATTGCTATTCTTGTTAGTTTGTACACATACCTCCCCAAAACAGGGCCCAGGCTGCACCTGTATGCTAACGGGAGGGTGAAAATTAATGAGTCTGGAGGGGAAATGTCATCATGCTCGTAATCTTACGCTAAGGTGCTACAGAAGACTTCGGAGGTGATCTGATCTCATCTACCCCTTGCCCGACAGATGCTACTGAGCACAGAGTGTAGATGATTCCCTGTAGCATGCAGCTACCTACCAGCAGTACCAAAACCAGATGCTCTATCCAGGCCAGGAGCACAGCCTGGCATCCACAGGGAGCTGAGGAAAGGGAGTGTTGGAGCACAGAGGAGGAGGTCTCGTGCATGCCCTATCTGCTTCTGAAGGGCTCATGTACCCTGCTTCGCCTCAAATAGCTTCCTGTGGCTGCCAGGTGATTTGCGAATGGCAGGACCATTCATACAACAATCCCTACTCAGGGGAAAAGTGAGCCTTAAGTGGCTTCTTGTAGCCTTGGAGGGACCCCTAAAGCATTGTGGGCCTTTACTCTTGTGGGCCTTTACTCTTGTAGGCCTTTACTCTGCATTCCCAGGGCTGGGCACAGGCCACTTCCTGGGCTGTAAGTCCCCAACACAAGTGTTCAACCTGGGAGCACAGGACTGCAACACAGCTGAATCAAGAAAAACATGGGTACAGTGGTTCAGGACGCCCGCCCCTGAGACTGATTCTATTTCAGGGGCCTGAGATATTCGCTCCTGTAGGAACTGCCTCCCCAGAGGGCCTGAATAAACACTGCCTTGAGTAGAGAAGGTGGTCACTACCTTGTATTACGGAAGAATGTTAGAAGTCAGCTTTTTTGGTGTATTTAAAGTATAGTTTTACTCACTAGAATTTTAGTTTATAATTAATGTTTCATATAAACATTGTTGGGTAAATAAAGGGGTGACTTCATTTATTTTGGAATATGTTCACAGAAGTGATAGTCACAGTATACTAAAAATACCAGGGCAATAGGGAATATATAAATAACCGTAGATATTTTTGATTTAAAACAAGAACTGTTTTTTACCCTTTTCTAATTCATGCAAAATTGGTACAATCCTTGTATTCCAAAAGACTTCGTCTACTTCTATTTCTGTATCCGTTTCTTGCAAGTAGGCTTTTGAGACTGCAAAATAAATCCACAGCAGGAGAGTCATGGGAAGGGAACTGTAACAGAGCACAGTCAAAATCATTTCCTATTTACCACTAAAATTAACAAGCTACAGAATTAAATTTCATTTTATACCCAATCCAATTAATTCTAATTAGAACTGCCAGTCTTCTAATCAAATTACCCCCAAATTAAACTTCAGATAATATAAAATCAGAATGTTAAAATATGACTGATAATTTTTAAGGTGTTATGCTTTGCAGATATTGATGACTATCAATAAGGTAAACCTTTGAGTCTCTCTTCTCTTTTTTCAGAGGGAAAAGCAGGATCTCATGAGGTAGCTCAGGCTCACTAAATGGCTGGGCTGGTCTTGAACTCAAAATCCTCCTGCTCCAGCCTCCCTAATAACAATCGAGTCAATTTTTTTCTTAGATGCACCCTTCTGCAATGTAGAGTAGGCAAATGGCTAATAAATACATGAAACAATGTTCAATCTCTGGCCATGAAGGAAGGGCAAATTAAAACCGAGATTCTATCTTACTCCAGAAAGAATGGCGGTCATCAAGAAATCTAATGCTGGAGGGATGTGGAGGAAAAAAAGAACCCTCGCCTCTGCTGGTGGAAGTGTAAACTGGTACAACCACTGTGGAAATCAGTGTGGAGATTCCTCACAAAACTAAAGATAGAAATTCAATTCTACTCAGCTATTTTCCTTCTAGGTATCTTTCCAAAAGCGCTATGGGCATATTTCAGTGATGCCTACCTACCCACGTTTATAGCAGCAGGATTCACAATAGCTAAATCTTAGAGGAGGCTTATATGCTCCATCAACAGATGAACAGATACAGAAAATGTATCTTTACATAATAGAGCACTTTTCGGCCATAAAGGATGTCAGTCATTGATAGGAAAACGGATGCACCTTAAGGCCACACTGTTAGTGAGATACAGCAGACATATACATGCTTAAATATCACATGGTTTCTCTCTTATGAGAAACCCAAAGTATAACTAGTTTAAAGAGGATACAGGGAGATCAGTTTTGTGCATGGAAAGGAGACCAAGAAAGGGAAGGGGTGGGGGAGACCAGGAAGGGAGGGGAAGGGGAAGTGAACAGAATGGAGATGCACTGTGTCCAGGCGCCAATTCATATGATGAATGTAACCACTGTGCATTATAAATGTGTGCTAACAGAAAGACCAAATACACGTGAGGACTTCAGAAAGGAAACGTGGTGTGCACACTGGCTGTTGCGTATCTCAAAGGCGGCCTTCCAGCGGAGCACCGGAAGCAAAATACACAACCAAAACTATGGTTGGCTTCCCATTAGCTCAGACCTGCCCCTGAGTGAGTCTGAAGAGCATCTCGCCTTTCAGACCTACAGTAAAGGAGTGTAAGCTAGCACCTCAATCTTCTGATTCATTATTACGTCTGTCTTAACTTTGACAAATTATACATATGAATTTAAAAACTAATGTGAATATTCAAGCAATATAAAAATAGCTGCTCACATTTTAAGGTAAACTACTGAGAGCCCAACATACATGAGCAAAATCCACATTAATCCAAGCCACGTAAAAATCCAGAAGGTCAGTAACTATCAACTTAACCAATACGTACTAAGGATGGCTTAAGTGTATGAGAAATGCAGCAGTAAGCCCAGTGGGTACAGGTCACCGTTTGCCTTCTATGCAACATGTGAATGCCGTAGTGCTATGAGAAGCCAGGATTATTAACTTGCTTCCCAGGACAAACACAATCAACAGCATGTTACTTGCAGAAGAACTGAATTACAGGGGTGAGCTGGAAGTCACAGAATGGTTTACTCAACTCAACCCTCCCAGAACCTTCTTCATGTTTTTCAGACTTGTTTTGTCTCAGAACAGCAGCTGGGCAGACATGTGGTAGAAGGTTTCCTTCCCCGTCTCCCTCCCAGGAATCCCTGCGCGGTGTGGTGTCTGGCTATGGGCTCTTCACCTCTTCACCCCATGCATCTCCTCCAGCTCCGTGCACCTGTGGGTCACACTCAGAACTGAAGCATAGAGCTGGGTGAGTGCTTTTCAAGTCACATACACACGCACATGCACACATACACAATAAAATTTGTCTCAGTCTTATGGGACAACCTAATATTTTAGAAAGCACTTTCATCTAGGTCCATGGTTTGCTAAATATAAAAATTGTGATTCAACAGGAAATTGAGTAAGTTAAGCAAAAACTTCAGCATGTTTTGTAGATTTTGCTGTCTCAGTGGGTATAGCTGTTAACCACAGCTTGAGTTCTGAGCACAAAAGCGTGACCCGATGTTAGGATTGGCTGATGTTTTTAGCATGTAAAGGTTAAGATCCTTAGCAACAACGGTGTCTCGGAAATCAGAATAGCTAAGACTTTCCTGTTAGAGAAATTCCCAATGTCTATGAAAGTCGTTTATTGATAAGAAACTAGTTTTGAAGGTAATTATTTTTTTTCCATTTTTATTAGTATACATTTACAATACATAATGTTTTCTTTCCTTGTGGGACATTGTCACTTGTACCCAACACATCTTAATTTCTGTTTTCACCCCTTTCCCTCCGTTCCCTACCCCTGCTCTATCCCTTGACCCCTTCCCATTTGAGAAAGATGTCTCCCTACTTCCTACTAGCTAGCTTTTATTTTGCTTTCCATTTGTCATTTGAGTTTCTCATATAAGAGCAACCACGCAATATTTAAACTTGTGTGTCTGATTGATGTCATTTAAGGTTATGGTCTTGGGGTGCATCACATTCCACTGTGTGCAGATACCACATTTTCTTTATTCATCTGTTGATGGACCTATAAGCTTCTTCCAAGATTTAGCTATTGTGTGACTTCTGCTACAATAAACATTGGTATGGATATATCTCTAGCAATTCTTAACCAAATATTAGTTCGGTGTCACACAATTTCATGTGTACAAAAACACGAAGAATATTGCAAACACTTGCATACCCACAACTAGTTTGGTCAGCTATTGACACCGTGTCGTACTTGATCCTTCCTCTTATTTTGAAGAAATACAGCATCGCAGACACACTTAAGTCTCTGCATCTCTGTCTGTTCTCATCCTCTCTTCCCCTCTGGGGTTACCAGCTTTCCAAAGTTGGTGTCAACAGTTAACAATGCTTACCACTTAGATCTGTCACCCATCATTGATGCCACTGTTTTTGCAACTTAATTTCACATCTAAAAATTTTGTTTATTTATTTTTTCCATGGGTTTTTGTTGTTGTCGTTGTGTTTGTTTGTTTGTTTGTTTGTTTGTTTTTGCAGAACCAGGGATTGAACTCAGGCCCTTGTGCTTGCCAGGGAAGTGCTTATTCCACTGAGCCATCCCCTCGGCCCTAAAAATTTTGTTTATTTTCAGTTCATTCAATATGATAAATGTACATCTGTTTATTTTTCTTACTGCCATATGCAATCCCTTGAGTACATTTTGTATTATTTCTAGCCCATAATTTATATTGCCTAATTTTCTCCGTTAAATACTTTAAAGCCCGAAAGGGTTGTCTTCAGATGGCTAATATTTTCATTTAAATAAGCAATGATTTTGAACTCTGGTTCTGAACCTAAGAACTATGCTGGTATCAAGGTTTTTTTTAGCTTTCCAGATACTTTTATTAAATAGTTTCTGTGAAATCATTGAGACCACAACCTGTTGATGTCTGAGTTGTGGATAATGTTAAGATATTTGTGAAGATAATAAAAATTTATAAAATTGCGCACTGATTTCGGACCATGCTGGACATAGTTCCTAGAGTTTGGACACAGAGAGGCAACTTTCCAGCAGAGCTGCTTGGATGAAGGCGTGCTGAGGACCACTAGGAACGTACACTCCTCACCTGCTTTGGTTTCCAGTCTGCTCAGGTCCGAGCGGCTGGGGCATGAGGAAGCCCTGGCGCGCCTCTTCCCCGGGTCTCTAGAAGGAAGAAGAAGATGCGAAGCACTCAGTGCACACAAGATACTTCCAAGGAGGTAGGTGACAAATTGGTTAGGTTCAGTTTCTGAAGCAACCGCCAGGAACTGTTCATAAGATGGGGTTTGTTGCTGTGTCTCCAAGTCTAATTAGTTGCTGATTTCCAACTATGATTTAAAATCAAATCACAGTGGGATAATAATATAAAGCTGGGCTATTAGAAAGCTCAGAAAGATGAAGCCAAAGTTTACTTTGCATATCTAAACAATTGGTTAAAGATATGACCACAAGAGGGCACTGTTACAATAAGAAATAACTGGCAGCCTGACACAAAACCTGACCTTTAGGAGTTGGGAGAGACCTTGTACTCTCTCTATGGATAAGGAAATTGCCCCAAACCAACCAGATGTGCCCGAGGCCATGCAGCAAAGTAATTTCTGGAAAACAGTCCCCCCCCCCCAAAAAAAAAAAATCACTGGTCTTCTCATTAGATTATGTCCTGTTCCCATCTGAAAATTTAATATTCTCACAAGACATTTTCTTAGATATATTTTAAAAGTTAAAATCCTGAAGCCCCCAGATAACAAATATGTTATGTCCCAAATAAAAGAGTGGTGGTGGGTTGATAGCAGGGTCTTATACTCACGTTGGAAAAGTCAGACTTAATATAGAAACCATCTCTGAAAGATACAACATCTTTTTAAACTAGAGCAGACACTTAACGCCTCTTACTTTTAAATATCTGCATAAAATTCTAAGGTAAACAGCAGTATGGAATATGAATGAATTTTGCAACAAAATTTCTCTGTTGGGAATCTGATATAGTATCTGCTCCCAAACTGCACCTCGTGTGGCCATCGTCCCCCCGTGAACATGGCGTGCACGCCTGCTGCCCCTGCTTCCCGTGGGGCAACGTCCTCAGTGTGGCCCTGGCCTTCACCACCGCCCTGAAGATCAGCCTCTCCAGATATCTTCTTTTTCCATGAGCATGCCCTTTAAAAATGCTTAGCACTTCCTCTTAGCCATCAAATAGGGAAAATCAAGCTAATTTTTAAAAACGTGTCTAATTAACTCTCCGAAACAATGGTTTTAAGAACCTGAAAGAGTAAATAGGAGCTGAAAGGTACAATGGATACTATGAAAGGGAAAGAAACTGTTCAAAGGGAAGGAACAACTGGGGCGAGGGAAAGGGGAAAGAAAGAGGGAAGAGAGATATGTATGGACAGACACAGGATGGCTCGGACAATTGTACTGCTGATTTCTGCTCATCTATTAAAAGGAGCAATTAATGCTTAAGGTTTCTCCTGTCATGTTTAATTTTTTATAATTTTTGACCTATGTTACATGTGTTTAAGGTTGTAACCTAAGTAACTAATTTGAAGCTAACATTATGCAATGTAACAACCATTATTGAATTCCTATCATTTTCTTTAGTGCAATTCTATCATCTCTAATGGTTTTTTTAAATTATTTTTTATATTCTCTTTAAAAAATAAAAAAAACTACAGAAAACAAAAACCTACACTATAGTAAATACATAGGTCTGCCTACAAAATGTTCCTAGCTAACCAGATGAAGAATATGGGAAGGAGTCCTCTTAAAAAGAAGCAGAAATAAAGAAACTCAATCCTATGAATAGATAAAATGCCAAAATCTTGATAGGACATAAGATCAAGGAAGTTTCCCTATTTACTGCTTGTACAAAGAACAAGGGCATCTGAGAATAGAAGCTGGTCCCTCCTTTCAATACCATCTGCCCTAAACAACTACTGAAATAAAACAAGAGAGTTTTGGAGGCCGTGGTCTGTGCTGAGGTGGCCTCCGTGAAAGCAACGTGAGTGTGTACTTACTCCAGGGCTATTACTATATGCAAACCCCAGGCAGTGCTGAGTCCTCTGGGTTCTCAGAAGGGTATAGGATTGGGATTAACTACCGCTGTCTACGCTCTGAGCGCACAGGATTCACCTGCCTGGACTCAATGCTAGGCTAAACTTTAACCAGGCTTGTGATCTTGGGAAGGTTACCGCGCTTTGGTTTTCTCCTCTTAAAACAAGATACTGCTTACACTGTGCTTAGCAGAGTGATTGGCACACTAGAAGAACTCAAATTGCCAATACGCTTTTCCTTTTGAGTCTGAGCAGTCCACTGCTGGACATAAGCAGTTAAGGTATCGCCCTGATGAATTTCTAAGTCTGCTTTGCAGAATTGATGAACTATTTTTTTTAAACATGGAAAAGCCCAACAGAGTCTCTAAAAAAGGGCTGGGAGGTAAAATTCAGCACGTCACAGAACTAGCAGAGTGCTGAAGAAAAATCGATTAGGGAGTAGTAGGAGGAGACTGAACAATGGGCCTTCAGAGACTGACAGGTGAGCCAGCACAGGGCAGCACTACTACCAGAAAGAGAGCAGCAGGGGTGCGTGCATCAGAAAGGAAGGGCGCAAGAAGGCTGAAGGTGCTAGCAAGACAGGTATGGAAGTTCCTACAGGGAGGAATTGAGAATGGCTGCCTGAAAGTCTGGGTTGAGGAAGGAACCCAAACTGATGGGCAGTCGGCACAGGTTTTTAGAAGAGGGAATGATGGGACTTGGATGTATGCAATGACAAGAATATGCAACCATGAAGAGAGCTGGGTGTGGTGGCACACATCTGTAATTCCAGCACTCAGGAGGCTTGAGGCAGGAGGACTGCTGAAAATTCGAGACTAGCCTGGCTATATACAGAGTTCAAGACCAGACTCAACTACTACCTTGTGAGACTTTTTCTCAAAACAAACAGACAAACAAAAAAAGAGGTAACAAGGATGAATATTTTGAAGGTGAACCCACAAATAATTGAGAGGATGTGGTGGTTGACTTAGGCATTTGAAGGACAGAACGTAGCTGGGCATAGTGGTGCACACCTGTAACCCCAGTCCTCTGGGGGTTGGGGGGCTGAGGTTCACTAGTTCAGACTCAGCCTGGCAACTCAGTGAGTTAATGAGAACCTGTCTCAAAATAAAAAGTAAATAAAAGGATGAAGATGTAGCTCAATGTCAAGGTCCTGGGTTCAATCCCCTATACCACCATCAACTACAAAGCAATGCAGACCAGGAGAACGGGACAGCCAGGCTGCCATCAGACACAGGGGCCTTTGGGAGCCGAGCAATCTAAGGACTCACGCAAGTCGGAGTCTCACAACAAATGGAGCATCTGCAGAGATGTGGAAGGCAGGAAACGGGATCTGCTCAAGATCCAAGGGGCCAAAAGAGAACAGAGTCATTGGAAGAGCAGCCCAAAGAGCCTACCCTGGGACCAGGCTTTGTGGGTAAAGGACAGCAAGGGGCAAAGGAGTCTAACAGAGGCAGAGAAACAAAATACGGCCACATACAGTCCAGATGTGTCCGAGAGAGAACGGCGTCACAGGGAACAGCAGCTGAGGACGGGGAAGAAGGTGCAGTCTGGCAGCTGAGCCTCCTGGGATTTCTGTGGGACCACGCACATGGTTGCCACTGGAAGAGTGAGCAGGAATGAGAGGCATCGGGAAGGGAACAGCCCTCCTTCACTGATGGACGGGTAGAACAGACAGGCTCGTGGACACCGCAGGGGTCTGTTTCCCTGGCATACCTACTCACTGGTCTTTCCACAAGAAGCAGAACTTTGCCCCCTTTCCTCCTGAAGCCCTGACATCTCTACGGGTGCCACACTCATCCCTTAGTCCTGTCCTGTGCTTTTTATCCATGCTCTAGCACTTAGAGCTGTGTGACTAAGGGAGGGCCTTGAGCCTAAGCTTTGGTGTCCTTGTGTGTATGAAAGGGGGTGACTGAAAGCTGCCCAGCGTACTCTGTGTAAGTGCTTGGCGCAGCACCAGGCGCATGCTAAGTGCTCAGTAAACATCTACTGCTTTCACCATTCTCCCTGGGGTCAGCAGCAAAGCCCTCTGGTCGCTCAGCTCCCCTCCACAGGACAGAGATTCATACTCTGCCTGCCTGCTCAGCTACTCTGAGTGTCCATCTGTCTGGATCCTGCTAAAGTCTGACCCTGGCTCTGAGCTAGTGGTAGGACCTGAGGAGCAAAGAAAAGGTATCTGAAATAATGCAGCTATGCTATCAGTTTGGGTGGCCACATCATGGCACTGGTCAGTTCCTCCCGGCTCCTGGGGGCAAGGCAAATGATTCTGACCGTGTTCAACCTTTACCCATTCTTATTAAATTCCACTGTGTTGTGCTTGCCAATGGGTTCCTGCCTATCAAATGTTTTTATATCTTGATTCAGTCATCTAGTATAATGGTTCTTCCCAGTTTCCTGTTCCATGTTATTAAAGATCGTAATTAAATTTTTCACAATGATTTTTTGATGTACCCAAAATAAAACAATTCCGGAAATTAGCCCCTAAAGCTCCTCCGTAACATCCTTCTTAGAGGCAGAATAATGTTCCATTAGTTAGGGTATCTTAATCTACAAATGACAAAAACCTAATTCCAAGCAATTTAAGCAGGAAGTGGAATGTAGTGGCTCCCATAATCCAACAGTGGACAGGTCGGGGAGTTTTAGGCATGGCGCACTCAGGGACTTGGCTTCAGGTCTGCAATTTCCTCCGCTCTGGCCTTCTCCTATTTCTGTCTGTCATAAGGCTGGAGTTCAGATGGAAGAAAAAATGCATGTACAGTGTTTGCAGGCCTCTCCTCTGTAGCTCTTCTGCTTCAGACCATAAACAAGGTCTTCCCTTCCCAGTCACTGATGAGAGTTCTACACTTCACTGTGAACAACCAGGACTACACTCTGTGGCCAAAGCAACACTTTATCCCAGCTGACACAATCACTCCTGCTCGCCCATCAGCCTATCTTGGCGCAGTTTCTACTCCCGGACCACGTACACCCCAGAAGCAAAATTCTAGACCCTTAAAAGTGGTCTAAAGTGCACATTTTGCTGTAATTCAGCAAGCTATTCCCACTATTATCACATGGTTCTTTATTCAGGGATCAGCAAACTTTCTTTAAGGGTTAGACAGTATATATTGTCTAGCC